TACATGTACTATATTACCAGTGAAAATTTACATAATATTGGATGTATAGACCAAATATGTCTCAACACTGCAGATGGTTACTGTTTGTAATTATAATACAATCGATTTGATCTTTGTTTTTATACATGATGAAACTTTTTCAGTTTTTCCTTATTAAATTGGTATTTATAATATTGAGCCTTAAGCCTCTGAAGCTCATATAGCTTCTTTGAATCATCCACCTTTACTTATTTTCTTTTCACACTCTTAACATTATAATAACAGGAAAACAATGCTGTGCTCAAGTCAATTCATTTTTTTCTTTAAAAGGATTATGGTTTTCAATTATTTTTTCGTAAAAATCTAAGTGTGATGCATTAATATTTTGTAACTGTAACTTGTCTATGTTATAATGGTGAGAGTGAGCAGTTTCAATTTATGTGTGGTCCTTGTGTTGGTTTTCAATTAATTGTACAAGATCGTCCAAATTTTTTTCATTTTTTTTGTACACTTGTCATATCAATTTATGTTAACTATTGGTCATAATCATTCATGGTGTACAAAGTCTTCAACCTCAAGGAAAGGGTATACGGTATGCTATTCAACATATAAGTAGTTTGAACCTAATGCAATGCAGGGTGGTCAACTAATGGTAAAGTAGTTTCGTTGTCAAGTATCCTAATATAGTGTCCAGTTTGAGGTTTCACATTGCTTTTTTTTTTTTAAATATTATATAGAATATAGTGTCTACATGAGTAAGGTTTTTTTTAATATTGTCTATCTATCAAATATATATTAAACGGGTAATAACTGAATTACTGTGAGCTGCTTAGTGGCCTATGCGACATAGATTGGAGCAAACTGATCTAGTTACTAAATGTGTGTACATACATTGCCGTTCATTTAGTAATTTATATGATCAATATTTGAAATACATTGATTTTTTGTATAACAACATAAAAAGAAACTGCTTAATAAAATTATTCCTGTGAAGTTAAATTTATGCAATAAATATTTCTTTATATTCAATGAGGATAGATATTAAAAGGAATTAAACACAAAAAAAACTATTATGTCATTGTATAGAAGTCAGATAAATCTTTACAGAACTGCGTTATGGTGACAGTTGTATATTTGTGGCTTTAGTAAAATTATTACTGTGCTGCTGTAAATTTTAAAATATGATAAGGTTTACAATATAGTGCGTTGGCGTGTGTCACTCTAATTATCCTAATTAGAGTAATTTAAAATTTTGAATTGGACTTGTAGAGATTTGGTGAAAGCTTTGACAAATATTTTGCATTTACAAAGTTTGATGCTTTCTTATTAGCTTCAGGATGCCTTTTTTCTATTGATTTAAGTGGGCGACAAATGTAACTCACTCGCTCAGCAATTAAATGTACATTAGTTGAGCTAATTATTCAAATACTGATTAAAGGATGACTTTAAATAACTTCATAATTGCATCAATTTTCGCAATAAAACATACATGTATTTGAAAAACACAAACTTTATAAATGGCCATGGATAGCTATATCTAGCATTTGTACAATGTATAATCAATATAATACATGTATAGTACATAAGATCATATTAATATTTTACATTGTAAATTTGCTCTAGTTTAAACGTTAAAGCACGAAATTGCGCCGCGCCATGACAAAACAAATAGCTGCATCTGTGACCAGCAAGGACAGACCAGCTGCAATCTACAGTCTCATAGGAGTCATGCAGTTCGCTAACAAACCTTATTACTAAGTAGAGAATTGATAGCAAATCATGGATCCTGGTCAGACTGCACAGAATGAGATATTCTTAGTACACAATAAATATCCCAGAGGCAATAACAGAGCTTAATTAACTTGTTAAATAGTAATATCTGTACATCGGCAAATGAGATATAAATTGCCTTATGTATCTATGGTTCCCATAAAAGTTGTGTTGAAAATCAATACAGCAGATTGCAAGAAATAGCAATATTGCTCTATTGTATACTACATAACTAATCAAGGGCCCTAATCTGTAATGAAGGGTCTTGTGCTGAACAAGGTCAACAAGTAGTTGCATATCTCATCTTGGTATTAATGGTTCCCATAAAGTTAATTGAAATCCAGCAGCAAGTAGGTTGCAGAGAAGTGAGCTCTGTTATGCATGACTGCAATAATCTAATTAAGGGCCATAACTACTGAGTTAGGTGTCTCAGCTGGAACGAGGCAGGGTGATATGCACATGCTCTCTCTTGGTTTTGAGGTTGCATAAAGTTTGCTCCCTATAGGCATACTGCATAACGAATCAAGGGCCATAACTCTGAGTTAAAGTGTCTGACCGGAACAACGCGACTATATGCGCATTTCCTCTAGGTATTGAAGGTTCCCATAAAGTTTCATTGAATTCCAGCAAGCAGTTGCAGAGAAGAATCATGGAAATGATTATTGCTCTTTATGCATACTGCAAAACTAATCTAGGGCCATAACTCTAAGTTAAAGGGTCTGACCGGAACAAGCCAACAGGTATGCGCATCTCCTGTTGTATTGAACGTTCCCATAAAGTTTCGTTGAATTTTCAGCCAGTAGTTTGCTGGAGAAGTAGCACAGAAACAATTATTAAGCTATATGCATACTGCATAAGTAATCAAGGACCATAACTGTGAGTTAAAGTGTCTGACCGGAACAAGGCGACGATATGCACATCCCCTCTTGGTATTGAAAGTTCCAATAAAGTTTCGTTGATTTCCAGCCAGTAGTTGCAGAAAGTAGCATGGGAACAATTATTGCTTTATATGCATAATGCATAACTTATCAAGGACCATAACTCTGAGTTAAAGTGTCTGACCGGATCAAGGCAATAATATGCACATCTCCTCTTGGTATTGAAGGTTCCCATAAAATTTTGTTGAATTCCAGCCAGTAGTTGCAGAGAAGTTAGCGCGGAAATGATTATTGTTCTATATGCATACTGTATAACTAATCAAGGACCATAAATCTTAGTTAAAGTGTCTGACCAAAACAATGCAACGATCTGCACATCTCCTCTTGGTATTGAAGGTTCCCATAAAGTTTTGTTGACTTTCAGCCAGTAGTTGCAGAGAAGTAGTGTGGAAACAAATTTTGCTTTATAATAAATTTGCATACTACATAACTAATCAAGGGCCATAACTCTGAGCTAGTGTCTGACCATAACAAGCTGACAATATGCACATCTCCTTTTGGTATAAAGTTTTGTTGAATTCCTGCCAGTAGTTGCAGAGAAGTAGCGCGGAAACAATTTTTGCTCTATATGCATACTGCTTAACTAATCAAGGGCCATAACTCTGATTTAAAAGTGTCTGACCGTAACAAGGCGACGTTATGTGCATTTCCTCTTGGTATTTAAGGTTGCCATAAGTTTCATTGAATTCTAGTCAGTAGTTGCAGAGAAGTAGCACGAATTTTGCTCTATTTATAATGCAGAATGCAAAACTAATTAAGGGCCATAACTCTGAGTTAAAAGGTCTGACTGGTACAAGCTGACTATATGCGCATCATCTCTTGATATTGATGATTACCATAAATTTTCATTGAATTCCAGCCAGTAGTGGCAGAGAACTAGTGCGGAAACGAAATTCGAACGGACGGAAGGACAACACCAAAAATGACTCAAAAAATAAAAATGCAGAGTGCCGGTTCTTGTGCACTGCACTTCTTCTTAATGAGATCTATCATCCTATAAAGTTTCAAGTCCATAGCTTATATACATTAGGAGAAATGAGCCGCACAAAAATAAAGTATGAAAATTAACAAAGGGCAATGACTCAAAAAATAAAGAAATGCAAAGTACCGGTTCTTGTGTACTGCACTTTGAGTCATTATAAAGAAGCATGCATAAAAAGTTTGAAGTCAATCCGACTTATAGTGACTGACTTATGCTCTAGACAAGCTTAAGGGATGCCGACGCCGACAACGATGCCTACAAAAAGTAACCCCTATATGTCACCTTTTTCAAGGCAACACAAAAAATGGTCTCACGTCGATCTTTATGTAACATGTAACCGCTGAAGGCCAAAAAGGCCGCTCAATCCATTGAGAAGTTGCAGCACTTTGAAATCAGTTTTGATGGAAAAATTAACACAAAATAGTGATTTTGTGCAATTTTGAGATGTCCCCTTGTTGTCATGGTAACAGGAAATTTGAGATTGAGCATGCTATTAAAGAAGCTACATTTGTATGGTCCAGTCGACATTTGGGCCAATTTAAGTTTGATCAGTATTGAAGCATTTTTTATAGTTTCATAGCAATTTGAACAAAATGCTCATGCAGTAAAGGGTTTATAAGTAAAATTTTTTATAGATTTGCAATGAAATTAGGAATTTTTGGTTCCAAGTGTCATTTAGATAAAAATCTACACCTCGTATTTGAAAAAAGGTCTGGGTTTAATGAGTTTTTTTTTTTAATTAATGCATAGTTCAGTGACACAGAAAAAATGTTATTTAATTGTTTATAAAATTTCACTATGTTATTTACAAATATTTGATATTTAATTGGGGGCATTTTCAAAATGGCACCATTTGTTGGCAAATATTCCAACATGCAATCTAATTTGGTTTTAACATATCATGGCTTTAGAAGCATTATTTTCTGAAATATTTATCTTTTTTTCACAAGTTTAAAGATTTCTTTAAGAACATGATGTTGTTAGAATTTTATTTTTGCTCTTTTATTTAATTTTCGCCCTTTTCTTGAACAATAATACACGTACATAATTGGTGTATAGCAAACTATATACCAAGTTAGTCACCTGAAGACATGTTAATTGTAGTGAGAAAGGTATATAGACCATTCTATTTGAAAGACCTTGGACCCAATGTCAGGTAGCCCAGAAAAAAAAATACTGGTTAACTTAATACAAGTCTTAACTATTACATTATTTTGTTATTGAAATAGTGGCTTATTATGATTGATTAATAAAGTTCATTCTTGTTTTATACCTCAGGTAATACAAATTGACAATGTACTTAGAATTATAAGAGATTGTTTTAAACTTACAAGGCACAAAACCGTGGATATCTGCATGTTTCACATCCTGGATATTTCAGCATTAGTCTTTTCTGGATATTTCAGCTGTAGTCTTTTCTGGATATTTCAGCATTAGTCTTTTCTGGATATTTCAGCTGTAGTCTTTTCTAGATATTTAGGCTGTAGTCTTTTCACCTCCTAGAAGTTTCATCTCTGGTCTTTTCTGCTATTTTTCTGTTATAATATAGTATAATGTAGGGATTAATCAGTATACATAAATGACATAACTTGAGTATATCATTAAAGCTTGAATTGAGTCGCAGTGATTGGGTTAGTCTTGAGTGATAATTCATTTAACTCAAGATAATCCAATCAGTTGTCCAATCAAACAGTCAAACAACAATACAAAAGTCAAACAAAAGGTGATAAATCAGTGTGAAATCAAGCTAATTATTATCCTGTGCCGAGTTCTTCTGAAGATTCTTTCATTTAAAGATTATGTTTTGAAAAACTGGAAATTTTAATATTATTGTTATTACCAATATTTACAATCTGACCTATAAGTCAGATCTTACTTATTTATTCCATGTAGATCTGATGACGATTGTATATGTTTAGCCTTCTTATAATTGCGATTTCCAAGGAAGCTACGTTTGTTCTCAAAATCACTCAGTTTTGGTTTTTGAATTAGGGTTAAAATTAAAAACAGCACCGCTTTCAAAATAATGAAAGGTCGCTTATGATTGGTTGTTTGAAAAAACTGAGAGATATAAAGAATCCCTTAAGAAAGCCAAAGAAAATAATATTGAAAATGTTGCAGGCTCGGTTTTGATTGAGCCTGTTCATGGACGGTACTGGGAAAGTGCAAGTTACCGTCCACGCCTCCTAGCACCGGCATAAGCAGAATTCAACATTTAAACATGACATGGTGAAATTTTGAATTTAGAAACATTGTAGATGTGTTCATATGGCAGTTATCATGGATAGAATGTGACACTTTCGTGCCATTCCATGAAGAGCAGCATATGAAAGACCACGAGAAGGTGACTACCTATGGGTGAATAATAGATCTTAATATGTAGCATAATTTAGAAGCTGATTTGAATTAGATTGCAATATTAAAATATGAAATTTAATTCCAGTAAAAATGCCAAATTTGCACATATGTTATCCGAAAAAGTAATATTTTTTTTTATCTACTTATTTATTTTTTATTAATTTATAAAAATCCACAACTCTGCAAACAATATTCAATACAAAAATCTACTCTGTAACTATGCACAGCAGATTTTATCTCCCTTGATTAAATATATTTTCATATCATGTATTTTATTGATACATTATACATATTTAGATTAAAAAAGCTTTCTATTAGAAATAAAACCAAAATTAAGTGTTCAATATATTCAATACCAGCCCTCCTAAAATATGTTAGATTTCAATAACATACAAAACTTTATTGTGAATATGGCATCATGGCGCATATCAATGTCACTTTATTTTCCAAATAGATCTGATCTTAAATAATAGCACTTGTTGAATTATGTACAAAACTTTGAGAGGAAATGTTAGTTTGCTTGAAGGTAGCCAGTTTTTTATTTAAGTTTCAAAATACATAGAAATTGTTGCAACCATACCATATGTCCTTGTGAAGGGCATAGAAGCATAAAATGAACTGTGCATTCTTTTCAACTTTATCATATAGTGATAACTGTTCCTTAAGAAGTAAGATATCAGAACTTATATGTCAGCCTGCTCTTTGTTTTATTATAATAACATAAAATCTGTTGTTAATGACCTGACTTCCATTGCTTTAAACATGATAACAATACAAACTTTGACTTCCAATAAAAACCATTGTTACCATAACAAAGTGTTGTAAGAATTAAATAAAACCCACAAATATCAATGCAATTTTATGAAAAATTCCCTTTGAACTTAAGGATTCAAGAAAGGAAGTACTATTTGCTTTCCATTTTTTTCAGTGAGTGGGGAGGTTAGGGGCATTAAAATGTTATGAAATTTAGAATTATAATGCCATATATCTGAACAGTAAAAAAATGATTCAATGTGAAGTGTTTAGTCTAACATTTGAATAGTCTCCCTTTAAACATAGATATTTTGATTTAGGACATAGTCTCATGATTTTATTTGATTTCTTATCAAACAATATCATTCATATTATGTATACTCTTAAGGAAAAGTGTTAATTTGTATTCTAAGTTCTGTGTGGTTCAAAAAACTTGTTAAGGTACATCAGGGCATTTTTTCCTTTTATAGCAGGGGCCGATAACAGACCCCGGGGCTTCACAATTCAAAATTGCACTTCTTTTTCACAAAGCAGCAGAAAAAAATTCACAATTTCAAAAGAGATTTCATAAAATTTCGGGACGTTGTCTTCAAATTTCATTGTTTACCTTCTGGTAAAACTTGATTTTTACGCAATTGCAAACATGTAAATAGTTTTAATCAAGTTATATTGTATTTGTGCATGTATACCAGATTAAAGTACCAGCTCAAAGCAGATTTTACACTGGTCTTAATTATTATCAAGCTTCATCATTTCTGGTTTCAAAATTTCATTAATGGCAGATTATATTATGTCATTTTTTCACAATTTTATGACATATCGCGCTTTTTTCCCACAAAATGAACTGGCCCTGAGGCCCCTTCACAATTTTAGCAAAAAAATGCCCTGTACATACAGAATTTGGAATAATAAGCTGCATAATTAATATTGTCTTGTTTGGGAATTCAAAAAATCAAATACAACTACACAGTATATAAACAAGTCATTGCTGCCTGTTATTGCAAGTAACATACAAGTTAAAATATATATTAGGCTCTCAAATAAGGTACAGTGATCGAAGTAGCATGTACTTTTACTTGCAATAAAATGGTACTATTGAGAGTCAGACGTTGCATTTTTTGTGTACACAAAAAGTTTACAACCTTAGTCTAAATTAAGGTAAAACAGGATATTTAAAGCAAATATGATTCAAGATATGAAAAACAATTTGACATGTCTCGATGGCAAAGTTGGTAAAGTCAATAGGATACCATCATGAGTTCGAGCTTCACAAGTTGTCAAACCTTTTTTTCTTTCTCCATTTTTTTTAAAAATTTTACATTAGATGCAAATGAAATTGGAATATAAAGGCAGTTTGTTATAATATCGAATAATTTAGATATACCCGGAAATAATGATTTTTATCCTGTGTAGTGTGTAATATGTAATATTCATATTACACTGTTATATGTGGACTTGACCACGCGTCCTGATAAAAAATTTTCCTAACAAATCCAAAAACAAGTCACAACAATTAGAATATAAATACAGCTCAGACAGTGGATTAAACTGTGGAACTAGATACTAAAAGGTTGGGCATAAATTATGTCCATGTAAAATTGTTTGCGTATCAATTAAGGTGGAAAGATCAGGGACTTTTCTGAAAAAATATTTAAATATGCTTATAATACTATATAATAAAGGATAGAATTAAAGGATTTTATTTTAAAGTACAAGAAGAGGCAATAATTAAAAAAGATGAGATATATATGATGGTACTACAACACTACATCACTTTTACTATAGTTACCTACTTGTATACCACATATACACAAGACAATTTAAGAAACTTGGAAAGGAATTGATTTCCAGTAAGAAATGAAATCGACTTAATTGAATTTCACTGGGCCCGTTTATGGTGTAAATATTATGGACTTTATATATATCTAGCTTTATACAGTATATGTACTTGTTATTATTATTGAATGCATGATACTAGTATATATTGATAGTTCTCCTGAGATGTATTTCTACAATGTATTAAATTAATACCAAAGGAAAGATACAATATTCACGACGGAAAAGACACAAAATAAGAAAAAAAATCACATAGACAAGCAATAAAAAAAAAAAAATAAAGTATATAAAAGGTCAGATGTACTTTTAATTATCATACAATGATTTTTGATTTGTTTACATATGATAATTTCAGTATTTCGCATATATAAAATAGATAAATTAATTAAATATATATTAGCTACAGTTAAGGCTTCTTTTCTTAATCATTCTAGAATAATTACCGGAAACATACTGTGGCCAGCTCAAGAATATTTTTAACCATTAAAATGGACATGGTGCAATTATTATAAAAATTTGTAAACATACTTATAGAATAGATAAGAGTAATCCTCTGAATAGACATCAGGCATCTCGATTACTTATAATTGCCTGGTCTGTAGCCTGAATCTGACATTTCAAAGCATATGATATATAATTAAAGTGTTGCTTATAAATTCTATCTGTGTTGTTTTTTCACTGATGCTTTTTTGGTATTGGAGTATCCACTATCGAGTTAATTAAATGGTCTTTGCTAGTGACCATTACTTTATCCCACTCTGATCAAAACGGGAGACAATACTACAAAAGGGTAACGGCGGGGTGACCTATAACTGAGCTCTGCTCCGGGTCAATTTACCTCACTGTGGTTAGAGTCTGAAATATGAGTCAAACATACGTAGTTAGCATGTTATTCAAGCTTGAGAAAGGTTACCATAACTAAAACATGTGCGAAGGTTAGGACAAAGAGTGAGAGGCCTGAAAAGGCGCGAAAGAAATAGTTGCATGAAAGATTCATTCACGGACAAGCGAGTCGGGTTGGGTTCATATGTTCGGCAAGCCTATCTCGACAATGAGAAGAGGATCGGCCACTGAAGGTGAGCAGAAAGGAAAAGAAGGAGAGATCATCCCAGAAGGCATGATGCACACAACATTTCCTCAAAAATAAGGAAGGTATTTTCAGATAAAAATGCTAAAGAATCGCTAAAGAATTTTGAGAAAAAAACAACGCATTTAAAAGAGGATCAAGCAGTTATTGCAAAGGATTTTCGGTATTGTCATACTACTCAATTTTATATAAGGCAGAGGCTGAACAGGTAAGAATACAATGTTTATTAAGATACAGCCATCGGAAACGATCCATAAAAAGACAAACAAAACAGTTGAAATTTGTTTTGTTTGTCACGATAGAAAAAACAAAAACGACCGTATAGTGGTAGAGATATTACAAGCTTTAGCTGGTGAGGAAGACTCAGCTAGGTGCTTGCTGTGCATTATTCAGGCACAAGCGATGGCACGCTTGAGTAGAAACTTGTTCCATAAGCTAGCTGCACAGTCGAAGTACCATCAAACTATGACCCAGACATAATCATGACATCAGTATACGTAGGGAAGATAAAGTTAGCCGGGGACAGTGCAGGAGACCTTATCAGTGCAATCAGGGGAGAGAATCTAATATTGTTCTGTCAGCCCTCCTAGAGGAAGTTGCAAAACAATGCTCAAATGAGCTTAAAAGGTCAAAGAGTAAGTCAAGCATCAACCAATCAAGGAGAAACAAGCCACAAGGGGACAGAGCCTGCGAAAAAGCCAAAACGTACAAGACACATCAGCACCTCTATTTGAAAGACAAGTAGGTATTGGCTACGGCAAGGATGTCTCTCAGAAATGCAATCTCGAACCTGATGACGTTGCTTAGGTCTACAATGTAGGATTTGGTGACCCCCGACAATATCGGTGATGGTACATCACCTTTACACAAGTTGCATTGCTAAAAGAGATCAAAATAGCTTCTCTCTAAATCATCGCCAGACAGGATTCATCAGCGCCGCAGACTGCGCCAAAAACTCTTTTCATCTAACAGAAACTATCAGACATGCCAAGGAAAACCAAAATGAACTATGTATAGCATTTATGGACATAGCGAAAGCCTTCGATACAGTGTCACACAAACATTTAGTGGCCGGGCTGGAGCAATATGGTACAGATCAACAATTCATAGACATTGAGAAAATTCTCTACAAGGGTCTCAGGCTCAACCATGTTCAAAACAGAGAAAGGCTGTACCGAAGACATCCATATTTGTGAGGGTGACAAGCAAGGTGACTTGCTTATCCCGCTGCTATTTAACATAGCAATGGACCCAATGCTAGCGGTGATCACAAGCCATAAAAATAGATACAGATTTGGACCGGGAGAGGAAGACTTCATTGAGTGCTATGTTATGCTGACAACAATGCTTTGGCAACCTGTACCACAGAAGATATGAACCACAATCTCAGGATTGTGAATGACTTCTGCCACTGCAGCATGCCCACTCAATTTTAAATGTAGGGTTACAAGTATCCCTTGTCATTGAAAATTGGGGGTACATTTCAAAATCTGGGGGTACACATAAGTTTAAACATGTTTTTGTTTGTAAGAACATTTTAGTCAACATGATATTAATGAACAGCTGTTTCACTAAGCATAAATACCCAATAACACAGACACAATCTCATCACTTAAGGTAGCAATATAACAGCCATTACAATCACTGGTATTTTGTTTAGTCCATACAATTATTACCAATAACCAAAATTTTGTAACTCCGAAATTATGTACATTTATTTCAAAATCTCAATTGTTTATATTTTCATTTCATATGACATACCTAAAGCTCACAATTGAAGGTAGTTGTTAAAAAATCAAGTGACTAACTTTTTGCTGATCATTGGTAAACTCAAAATACTTTTTGGCAGTTGTAAATAGCCAAAAAACTTTTTTTCTTAAGACAGTACATGTCACGTCAAGACATGACTAAAATATTTACGAATCAGACTGAGATGACTTTGAAAGTAGACATGCAATTGTGACTGGTTTAGACTGTTCCTAACCATTAATAGATGGCAATGACATTTAGTTGATATGCATATTAGGCTATCCCAAACATTCATTCTGACGATTTTACTTTGCGTGCATGTACCCCCTGCTTACAATTTTAATGCGTGCATCTAGAAGTTTGTGCGTGAATTATGCACTGTAGTGCGTGAATGGGATGCTGTGCCAGGCACGGGCAATCATAACCCAATATCAAGAAATCAGCTGCCTTCAGCATCACTCCCTATTGAAATCGAAGCTACAGCATAAACAGTCATAAAACACCACTTACCATCAAAATGGAAGCTGTACATATGCTTGCACCAGAGGACTGTTTGAAATACCTCGGCTCAATGAATTCCTGGCTCACAAAAGTTCGCAAAAACATAACTGTGGAGCTCAAAAGCTGGGGAAAGTGGGCAAAGCAACACTCAAGCCCAGACAAAAACTGGTTATGACTAACTACCCACTAACCAAGGATGCCTACCCCACTGGGGTCTTGAAGGACTGAGATCGTACATACACCTGGCTGGACTGCAATGCTCAGTACTATGGGGAAGCAAACTTTGTCAAAGGAATTAAACTGAGGACCGAAACATATCCTTGCAAGGCCACTATGGCTCTTGCGGGCCATAAAGGGGACACAGCCTGCCAGCATTGTAAAATGAAGGTCGAGACCATAGGTCACATCTCCGGATGGTGTCCGAAAGTCAAGGGATACAGGATAAAAGAACCTAATAATCGTGGACCCTGAAGTGTAAAAATGCACGGGCGCAGAATGGCTCATTGCACATGAGCCACTACTCAAGGCAACCAAAAATGTAGACCCTGGAGAATGGAAACCTTACGTGGTATTCATCAAGAACTTGACGACCGTGATGCTAGATCCCATGATCGTGTACGAGAAAGGCCACGCCATCCAGATGGCAAACGGAGACAGGAAACTCAAGAACGCCCACCTTGATCAAGCAATCAAGGAGAATTTCCAAGTAGGTGCGGTGACATACATGGGCCTAGTAAAAGTGGCTAGAGGGAGTTGGCATTTTGCAAACTCCAAAAACCTAGCCAAACTCGGAATCACAGATCCAGGTTTTGAATCCCACTTTTGTCGCTTAGCACTGAAAGGGACCATCAATATGTGCCGTCTCTTCATGGATGGATAAGTTGCTTGGCGCCCGAGAGCCAGGTACATCCCGGACCCTGCAGGCCCTTAAATTCTCAGGGCCCGTCTGTGTGCATCCCTGTAAATATGTATACAGTGGAGTAGAGTGCCTCATCATTTTATTAGTGATGCGCATGAATGTATTAACGAGATTCCTACTGTCCCTATCTACTATCTAGTGAAACTAGAGCAAAGGGAATTCAACTCATTGTCTTAGATCATTTGTCATGGAGAAATATCACCTCAACCTAGGATCAAACCAGGGACCCTTGCATTACAATTTTGATGCTTTCCCTAGTGAGCTTGGACAGATGCTGCTCTCCCTATTCAGCTAACCACACATACAAACTACAATCATATGTTTATTTCCCTAAATCTTTAGAAATATACTGATTAAAGCAATTCATATACTTTTGTATAAATAATATCATTTTTTGTATGAAACACTACATGTATTTGAAATGAAAATGGCAAAATAATCTTTAACTAGAACTATCACTAAATGTGATTAATACCCCCACAAGTCTGCTTCGGAAATGAGGATGTTACTAGTAACAGAATACCTTGTAAAAGAATTGAAACATAGAGTTATGGTTGTGGGCAATTAAAGATAATTGTGGTTCATGTATGTTGCATTTCCTTTCAATGTGGTTGGCCATTGATGAAGTTTAATTGAATTACTCTGTAATAAGTCCACAAAGACAAAGAAAAAGAACAAAGGGCAAACACTCTATAAATACTGAAGATAGAGTTATAGTTCTTGTGCACTGCACTTCCTCTTATTGTGCTTGACCATTGTATGAAGTTGTATTGAATTCCAACCAGTACGTTTTAAGTTATGCTCCAGACAAGGAAAAGTATCAAAGGGCAGTAACTCTGTATTTTGTCAAAATGGAGTTATGGCTCTTGTGCACTGCACTTCCTTCGAATGTCCTTGACAACTGTATGAAGTTGTACTGAATTCCAAACAGTAGTTTTCAAGTTATGCTCTGGACAAGGAAAAGTAACAAAGGGCAATAACTCTGTAATTAGTCAAGATGGAGTTATGGTTCTTGTGCACTGCACTTCCCCTTATTGTGCTTGACCATTGTATGAAGTTGTTTTGAATTCCAACCAGTAGTTTTCAAGTCATGCTCTGGACAAGGAAAAGTAACAAAGGGCAGTAACTCTGTAATTAGTCAAGATGGAGTTATGGTTCTTATGCACTGCACTTCCTCTCAATGTGCTTGACCATTGTATGAAGTTATAATGAATTCCAACAATAAGTCTTCAAGTTATGGTCCGGACAAAAGAAGACAATGAAAAAGTAACAAAGGGCAATAACTCTGTAATTAGTCAAGATGGAGTTATGGTTCTTGTGCACTGCACTTCCCCTTATCGTGCTTGACCATTGTATGAAGTTGTTTTGAATTCCAACCAGTAGTTTTAAAGTCATGCTCTGGACAAGGAAAAGAAACAAAGGGCAGTAACTCTGTAATAAGTCAAAATGGAGTTATAGTTCTTGTGCACTGCACTTCCTCTCAATGTGCTGGACCATTGTATGAAGTTATAATGAATTCCAACAATTAGTCTTCAAGTTATGGTCCGGACAATAGAAAGCAATGGAAAAGTAATAAAGGGCAATAACTCTGTAATTACTTTAGATAGAGTTATGGTTCTTATGCACTGCACTTCCTCTCAATGTGCTTGACCATTGTATGTAGTTATATTGAATTCCAACCATTAGTCTTCAAGTTATGCTCCGGACAAAAAAAGAAGGCAATTGAAAAGCAACAAAGGGCAATAACTCTGTAATTACTTTAGATAGAGTTATGGTTCTTGTGCACTGCACTTCCCCTTATTGTGTTTGACAATTGTATGAAGTTGTTTTGAATTCCAACCAGTAGTTTTCAAGTTATGCCACTGACAAGGAAAAGTAACAAAGGGCAATAACTCTGTAATTAGTCAAGATAGAGTTATGTTTCTTACGCCCTGCACTTCCTCTCAATGTGCTTGACCATTGTATGTAGTTATATTGAATTCCAACCATTAGTTTTCAAGTTATGCTCCGGACAAGGAAAATGCAACGGACAAAAAAAAGCAATGGAAAAGCAACAAAGGGCAATAACTCTGTAATTACTTTAGATAGAGTTATGGTTCTTGTGCACTGCACTTCCCCTTATTGTGTTTGACAATTGTATGAAGTTGTTTTGAATTCCAACCAGTAGTTTTCAAGTTATGCCACTGACAAGGAAAATTAACAAAGGGCAATAACTCTGTAATTAGTCAAGATAGAGTTATGGTTATTGTGCACTGCACTTCCTCTCAATGTGCTTGACCATTGTATGTAGTTATATTGAATTCCAACCATTAGTTTTCAAGTTATGCTCCGGACAAGGAAAATGCAACGGACGTCTGGACCGACCGCCCGACCGACCGACCGACCACCGGGTGACTCCTATATACCCCCCCAAACTTCGTTTTTGGGGGTATAAATAGCCAGATGTGAGCATTTGTACATTAAATAAAATCAATATATACAAAGATCATAATATATTATAACTTTTTTGTTATTGCCAACACTATTTAAAAGTCATATATTAGGCTTTTAACCATGTATATGCCTTGATGAATAATGGCAGCATAAGGCCTTGTTTATCAAAAGGGGCCGTTTTTTGCTATGTTCTTTTGTTGTTGTCCTATATATTCTTTGCAGCAGTATATTGAATGTATTGCTCTCATTTCTTCTGTTTACAATAAGATTACTCTTCCCAATTTTAACCGTTCCCAATTGTATTTACATCACTCAGACTGACGGACATCACATGCAATGCCATTTCAATGTCCACCTTCTGATGTTATTTGTGGGCATTATGGTATTATGGCATGTATGGTGTAAATGTTTATGGACTTAAATATATACTTCATTCTAGCTTTTCTGTTTTATGGCATTATTGATTAAATACAGAATGATGATAAAGATGTTGAAGTGTTTATCAAAAAGGTACTTTTTACACAAATATAAATGTATACCATGTATATATTACCAGTGAAAATTTACAATAATTGGATGTATAGACAAATATGTCTCACACGCAGATGTTACTTTTTAATTATAATACAATCGATTTTGATCTTTGTTTTATACATGATGAAACTTTTCAGGTTTTCCCTATCTAAATTGTATTATATTGAGCCTTAATGCCTCTGAAGCTCAATTTAGCTTCTTTGAATCATTCCCAACTTTATTTCTTTTCAGACTTTTAACATTATAATAACAGGAAACAATGCTGTGGCCAAAGATAAAATGTGCTCAAGAAATTCATTTTTTTTCTTTAAAATGGATTATGGTTTCAATAATTATTTGGTAAACATATTTATCAATGTATCATTAATATTTTGTACTGTAACTTGTCTATGATTATAATGTGAGAGTGAAGTTTCAATTTATGTGTACACTTTGTTGGTTTCAATTTATGTGTACACATCGTCATATCAATTTATATGTACACATTGTCATATCAATTCATGTGTACACAAAAGTCTTCAACCCTCAAAGGAAAGGGTATAACGGGTATTGCATATTCAAATATAACAGTAAGTTTGAACCTAAATGCTAAATGTCAGGGTGGTCAACTAAATGGTAAAGTAGTTGTTATTCCTTGTCACAGTGATCTAATATATTGTCACAAGTTTGAGTTTCACAAATTGCCTTCTTTTCTTTAAATATTATATCAGACGTATGGTGTCATACAAGAATAAGTTTTTTTAATATTGTCTATCTATT